TGCCGCGGCGGTCTGGCCAGCCCCAGCCATGGAGGAGGCAGGGACTGAATTTGACGGGGCTGCACCTCCCCAGCAGTCACCGTTTTGTTAGGAAATAACAAGCCCTCCCCGTCTCTTCTCGAGGTCTTGGGGGGAAGCACATGGGCAGTGCCGGAGCAGAGCAGCAAGCTGTGCCTTGGGGCATGCGATTTCCATGTCAAGGTTGAGGGTAACGCGTCACCCTGCTGTGGTTCAACCCTGCAGGCACCGCTCTGGCCGTGTAACATTCGGCTTCGGGCTGGGCAGGCAGAAGAGCAGACAGCAGGCAGGACGCGAGGAGGAAAGCAGAAGAGAGCACAGGGAAGGCACGAGCAGGATGGCATGGAGGAGGACGGCTCGAGCAGATCCCCTTCGCCATCTCATTCTCCTTCTCCCCCATCGCACACAGGCACAAATCCACAGCCCAAGGGGGTTTGCCAGAGCTGGAGGCTGTGGCTCTCACTAGCCCAACTCCCCTGGGTGCTGCTGCCCTGTGCTCGCTTCCCTTGCCCCGGTACAGAGCTGTGGGGGGATCTGTCAGAGCCATGAGATCAATTCCCTCCTCGTTAGTAACTCCTTAACTCAAATTTTGACGGACCAGGCTCAATATCCCCACTCCCTGCCCCAGGTGTGAGGTTCTTGGTCCCTGTTCCACCAGCAGAAACGCCCACCTCACCTCGGATCCGAGCGTGGAAGTCAGGCGCCAGCACTCGCTGCAGGTAGGGAGCCTTGGCCTGCTGCAGCACGCAGAGTGACCACACCAGATCCATCAGCACATGAGGCTCCAGGCTGTTCAGCTGGCTCTGGAGCTTCTCATGGACCTGCAGAGAGAGAAACCAAACAGCTCAGATCAGCGCAGCTGATGCCTCAATCCTGAGGTCAACAGGATCTGGCAGCTCGACAGATCCCTGAGGCGTTACAGTGCACCCGATGCACGCTGTCTCCTCTACAGCAGTGCTTCTCCCCTGGGTTATTTGCAGAGGGGAGATTTTAAGATCACTCTAATGTGACCCTGCAGCTCATAAGCTGCGGTTCGCTGGCTCAGAATGCTGCGTCGCTGCAGCAGGGCTCATCAGAAAGCCCAGCAGCAAACTGCAGCGGCCAGGGGTAAGGCACCACTGTGGCCCCCCCTGCCACGAGGGCCGCGTTCAGAAAAGGGAGGACTGGAGGCCATAACCTCTTCAGGATTTGCAACTCAAACCTGCCGTAAATAGAGCTGGAGGGGTCTGAGACTGTATTGGTGGTGTCAGGATGCCTGTCCAGGAATCACAGCAAGAGCCTGGAACTCTGCACCCCACAGGGGTTTCTCCTGTTAAGCCTGAAGAACTCCTTTGCAATGCCTCAAAAATGAGTAGTTTTGCACTTGCTAGAAAACCCCTCTTCACAGTGACTACGACTAACGCTGGCAGGGGGAGTCCAGAGCCCTGGATGCTATTTCCACACCTCGCCCTTCTCACTGTCCCAGAGAAACCCCCTGCTCCTCAGGTTGGCTTGGCCACGGGGGGACAGGCTGCCCTGCGGTGGGACGCGGGGTCCTGCTCATTAGAAACACCCATATCTGGGTCCTCTTCCCTCTCAGCCGTGTGTCGCAGGTGGGGCTGGGCAGGCCACGCTCCCTCTGCCGGGTGCTCGGCGAACGCCTGCTTACTCAGCTCCTCTCTGGAAATCATCAGCATAAATCTGTCCCCAAGGAGGTCAAGGTGACTTCCTCCTCTGCTTCAGAGGCCAGCCCAGCTGCCTCCCCGAGCTGGGGAAGGCAGGAGGATGCCAAGGACAGCGCCTGCCCCATGCCCACCTCCTGCCAGCCTCTTGCTAAACCACGCAGGAGGCTCCTGCCTCCGCTCGGTCACCTCTCCTCACCCCAGGATCTGGCAACCTTCCCCTCCCCGAGGCAGGAAGACAGCAAGCACATCTGCCTGTGGGAGCCTCCATCCTTCTCGACAGCTCCCCAGAGCTGGTGGAGCAGCCTCAGCGCTACCAGATCGAGGGTTTGGCTCGGCCAGAAATGGGAGTACAACCATCAACACCCATGGCCTCGTTATAAAGAGTTAATTACAGCAATCAGAGTTCAGGAGGGCATGTGAACACCCACACGCTGCTTGTGTCTGCTAGAAAAGCGAGCCTGCGGGGCCTCGAGCCAGTCACGGGCTGGTTTATCACCCGGCACACAGCCAGGTGAGCACGGTGAGGGTTTTTCAGCCTGGCCTGAGCTCTGGGCTCCCCCTTCCCACACTATTAAACAGCCGGATCGAGCCATCCACCACCCGCTTTTGGGCGTGGATGCGCTAGAAGGAGACGCGCAGCCTTCCCCGCTGACTAGGGAGGGAGGAAGGTTGATGGAGAGGGGGAAAGGAGGATGGTTACCATGTTGAAGAAATCCTCGCTTCCGCTGGGCTGGAAGTTCAGGCGAGCAAAAGACAGGATGATACTGCACAGATGGGTGACCGACAACTGCTTGGTGTTGTCCATGGTGTACTGGAAGATAGAAGGGGGCAAATCCAGAGGTTTAGGCGTGTTCTACACGAGTACGGATGGGAAAAGACGGAAAGCATCAGCCAAGGACACATCCAGCCCCGTGGCAAGATGGGAAAACACGAGTGAAAGATCTTTTAGTGCTTCCCTGGGATTTTATCCTGGCACAAGGGAAATCTGAGAGTGGAAGCAGAGCTCTGTAATATTCCAGCAGAGATGCAAAAGTGCAGGCGCATAAACTGGGGCAGAGCTGGGAAGGCGCCTGGGGAGGGAGAAGCAGCGCGGGCACTCAGGAGCGGAGGCTCGGACAGAGCTGAGACCAGCCCAGCTCAGCACAGATCCCCAGCACTGACTGCAGCGGAAGGTGAACAGCGAGTCCTGTCAGACTCGATTACAGCCACCGGCTGGGTAGGGAAAACAGTGACGACATCCCAGAGAGCACCTCTGGAAAGGTGGGGGGAAACCACTCCCATCTCCCAGGAACAGGGGTGCGTCACAGTTGTACTGGTGCCGGTGGGGGCTTCCCCGGCCCCCCCCCCCAACCCTCCTCACCTGCGCAATGGCCTCAAACAGCGGCAGGCTGAGCCACTTGAGGAGGGCGAAGGATCGGATGCAGCGCGTCACCTCGATGGGCGTCATCGTGGAAACGTGGGGGTGCAGGTCGGTGGCTATCTTCTGGAAGACCTGGGGCTGGTGGAAATTCATTTTTCCTTAAAGGAGCAAAAGAAAGTGGCAGCCACTTACAAGGAGCTGGTACGGGAGCCGTGCCTGGATGGGCAGCGGCAGCACAAGGGAACGCACGAAGCTGTTCATTAAGAGTAGAGGAGGCTTGGAGAATGGTATTGCTTCTCCCAGTTGGCTTGGCCCCATTCTTTCTGGTTGAATTGAGTCTTTGCTGGGTCCTGCCAGCTCTCAGTCCCAGTGCCAACTCATGGCTCCAGCCTCCACCCAGTGCTGGTAGCAGCTTTTATCCCCACTGTCTCCAGCTACAGATCCTGGGCTGGCCAGAAGAGCCCTGAACTCGCTAAGGCTACCGGGAACCTCACGCTGGCCGAGGAACAAGCGAGCAAGGATCGGCAACCGGCAGCAGCAAGCCCCGGAGGTCAGTATGGGCCAGCCAGGAGGGGACAGTCCCCATGAGAGGGACACAGGCAGGGTCTGAGACTGGCTGTGGCGGCAGCAACAACAGGTACAAACCATCCTGACGTAACGATGAGGCAGTGACAAGCATCACAGAGAAACCTCAGTGCAGTGTGCCAGCGTCCTGGCCAAGAGCATCCCCACCATAGCGCTGCTGGAGCCTGCAGGAGCCAGTCTCACTCCCAAACCACATCCAACCATTGCAGTTGTCCACTTTGTGCATTTTAAGGCTCGGGAACTGCTGGATTACACAGTCCAACCTCTGCCTAAGACCCTGGCCTGTATATACTGTCCAGCTGCCCTTCCTAAGCTGGATCACCTACAGCCCTGCCTCTGAGAAAGGCACCCAGCATGGACTTGGAAGCCGTGACACACAGCATCCACCGTTCTCCTTAAAGCACATTCCAGATTAAAGAACTTCACAGCAAGTAAGCTGGTAACATCAATGAGAGAATCACGAGCTCCCTCCTAGGCCAGGTCTACTGGGGTTATTTAGAATCATTTGGTTGGAGAAGACCCTTAAGATCATCAAGTCCAACCCTACCTGTCCACCACTAAACCCTGTCCCTAAGCACCTCATCTGCCCGGCTGTTAAATCCCCCCAGGGCTGGGGAC